TGTGTCAGGGGGGGCATCGGGGTTGTGAGGACTCCCCAGTCTGGGCTCTCTAGGGGACTGAAGGGACGTCTGCCAGAGCCTGGACCTCGTCTGAGGAGTCCCCAGTTGGAGGCAGGGTAACAGAGGTGAAGGTGGAGCAAGGTAGAGAGCCCCAGAGTCCAAAACAGGACCAGGGTTCGGTCCAGAGCACTTTGGGGGGCTTCCCGGAGGAAGGGATGGGGGAGATGGGCCCAGGAGCCTGCCAGCTGCAGAGGGACCTGTCAGCAGGCCGTCCTTCCTTGGGCAGCCATGCAGCTGCATTGCGGTTTTGAAGGGTGATGTGGGGGACCGAGATCTAACTCTGCAGGTCACGGAAGTGCCGGCCCAGTGCGACTGGAGTGGGATGGAAAGAGGGAGAGCTCAGAGGGGGTCCCCTGCACCCTGCCTGGAGGCCTCCCGGGCGGAGGCGCCCGCAGCCCTGCCTACTGACGAATGGAGGTGGCTTCTGCAGGTGAAGTGGTGAGACGCAGGAGGAGAGATGCCCGCAGCTGATCAGAACCAAACTCAAACTCACCACCCTGGAGGGGACTGGGACTCACTGTGGCCCTACAGGGCAGGGCAGGGCAGGGCAGAACGGCCCCTGTGGGATTCCCAGGCTGTAAGGCTTGACGGGAGTACAAAGCCTTGTCTTTCTCTCATGGGGTGGCTGGTGGTTTCCAACCACGGATGTTGGCCAGCCCACTGCAGAACAGACCCGGAGGCTGTAACTGTTCATGGGAGTAGAAAGCCCCCTTGCCCTCCCTTGGAGCAGCAGGTGGTTTTGAACTGCTGACCTTGCAGATTGCAGCCCAGTGCAACAGCCCCCAGGTCTCCAAACACAGCTGGAGAGGTCCTCAAAGGCCTGGCTGAGGGGCACAGGCTGGGTCCAGGGAGGGGTGCTGTCCACAGGGCAGGGGCAGCTCTGGGAGTAGGCAGGCCTCTGGGGCAGAGGCCGGAGGATTAAGAAGAAGGGAGAGGAGGCCGGAGCCAGGGCTGGGGCTGTGGGGGCAGAGTGGGGGTGGGGAGCAGGGTGGGGGCAACACTCCAGGGTCCAACCTAATGACTGAGGGGACGATGAGGCTGTTAGGAATCCCGAGAGGCTCTGGCTGAAGTCCAAGCCCCTGGACAACCTGTGCCGGTCACTCTGTTTGGGGATGGGGCTTCCCTTCTGTTAGGTGCGGGAGGTCCCATAGGAGCCGGTGGGTCCTAGAACTAATCCTTCCGGAAAGCCCAACCTCAAACTCATTGCTGTTGAGCCAATTAGACTCGCGGCGACCCTAGATGACCTGGTAGAGCTGCCCCAGTTGTCGACTTCCCCCCGGGGAGCCTTTCCTGACTGGGGGCT